TAGAGGTATTTGCAAACATTTTAAACTTCAATTTTGTAATTAAATGTATTTTTGAAAACGTAGCGTTGTTTTTGTGGTATCTGTATTGTGGTATTGTTTTGTGGTATCGTATGGTGTTGAACTCAGGACCTCATGCTTGCCAGGCAGGCGTTGTGTTGCTGAGCTATACCCCTGGCAAAAATGTAGTTTCTTCCCTACAATATTCATTATAGTCACATGACCTAGGAACACTATTGTACTTTTGATTCTATTAATAGCAAAATATTTTTCTATTTTTACTATCAGCTAAAACCTGGTCCTTAACAGACATTTAGATTTTGTAGTATGTTTTGTGTGTGATGCCCTTTGAGATCAAAATGTTTGAGAGCTGTTTATTTATAATTTTTGTGCAGATTGTGCATCATATAGGTTCATTATATTGACAGTTTCAATGAATATTAAATCTATGAGAAATACTATGACTTTCTTCTAGTTAATGTTGTGTTTAGCAACATAGGTCACCCTGTCATTTTTCTCAAATTTTACATCTTGATTCTTTAATCATTCATGCATAGAGGTCTTATCTCTTTCATTTCAATCTTTATGTCACATTTCCTTTCTTGCCTTTTAGCACCAAACAGGAATTTTTGTTTCGTGTAACAGAACAGTGGAGATAGTGACTATATCTCCTTGACTTATATCTGATTTTGAAATAATTAATATACTATGTCTCCATTCATTGTCTCATTACTAGGTTTATGGTATATAATGTCAACTTACTAATTACATTTTGGTTTTTTTCTTCATTGGAAACTTTTAAGAAATAGTTAACAAAAACTGAATTTTAGACAACATGTTTATGTTAGTGTTCAAATAATCAGACTAGGTCTTCTTTGTTGTTTTCTTGTGATGTTTCACCATAAGTTTCTGATCTGAAGTCATCCTTTGATAAGATGAGTACATGCCACTTAATTATCATATAGTCACGTATGTGTCAAGGGTACCGCAGATTGAACCTATAACATCATGCAGGCCAGTGACCGATGCTACCACTTAGCTGTATGTCAAGATGGGAAGCTATTTTCTAGTATGTGATTTTACTTTAGTAGGTAATGTTTTATCTTTGGTTTGAAAGTATGCATGCATAACTGTAATGGGCCTTTATTTGCCATTTCTTTAAACATGTTGCCTGGATTTATGTAAAGATTGCATTAACCTAGTGAAATGAGCTACAGAGATTTCCTTACCCTTTTTTGACTATGAACATTGGAGACCATACTCATCTTGGTATATTATTTTTATTATAATGATTTTATTCATCTATGTTTTTAATACATAATAAATATATTTATCCTGGGAACTGGTACATATACATATGGCATATTGATCCATGTCTTAAGTTTCGGTGAATCACTTGAAAACCCACTGGGTGGTGAATCTATAAAGGAAAGTTTTTTGATTGCCTTCAGTTGCTTGCAAACTTATTTCATGAAAACTCCATTATCAGCTTTTTTGTTTAATTATGTTTTTCTGAGAGTTTATTAACTATCTAAATTCATTAAGTGATAATTCTTTTATATTTTTGATTTCTCTTAAAATATCCTTGATTACCCAGGTTCAGTTCTATGCATCTGTAATCCCAGCATTCAGGAGGCTGATACAAGAGGATCAAAAGTGGATGACAGCATGGGCCACATAGTGAGACCCTCCCTCAACATTTAATATATCCATATATTTATAATATTTTTCTCATTTCCATTGTGTTTTCCTGTTACCTCTTTCTTGATACTGCCTTATTTATTTTTTCTAATATATTGATTCCTGTTTTATTAGTGATTTATTGGACTCTAGTATGAAAGATTTGGATTTAGTATCTTTGTCTCATTTAATTTATCAATGTTTGAAGCAGATTAGTAACATGGTTTTAGCACTAAGAGCCTGAGGCCAGTGACTTTAAGCTGAGGTCTGCGTAGAAAAGCAAAAGAATAACTGTACGTCCTCTTGATACATCCTGGGCCACAGGCCTTCCTTGCTGTCAACTCTGTGCAGGTAGAGCACCTCTAGAAGGGCTGTTGACTGTGACAAGCTGCAGAGTGATGGAAAGCAGGCGTCTCTTGTGCAGATGGTTTTGGGGAGTTTTGCTTCCTAAAGTTCAGACTGGTCTCTGAAGCTTTTTCTGGAAAATGGTTGGTGTTTACATGCTGATTGTTGCTATAATCTGATCGTAATTTGTACATATTAGGAATGTTTATGAAGGGCATGTTTCAACACAGACTCATTTAGGTACCTTATTCAGGTCAGATATATTCAGTGGTTAGTATTATGTTTCTGTTGCTTGGATGAAGTACATCACCTATACAAATGAAGAATGTTAGAATGTCCAAGACCACCGAGACAGGCAAAGTTGAAGCAACAAGCTGAGTTTATTCAAATCTGGGTGTAGGCAGGCCAAAGGCAAAAACTTTGTTGGCCCCAGGGCTGGGCGTAGGTTAACTCTATAGGGCTGTTCAGGTACAGGAAGAGGGCTGGTGGAGAGGGGTGGGAAATTTTGTAAGTTTTAGGGTGGAGGTCATAGGGTGAAGGCAGATTCTGGAAAGCAAGGTTGTCTAGTTCTATCTGGGATATAAATGCTACAAAGAACATTCTCTTTCTTATTGCTCCAGAGCATATTTGAGAAAATTCTGGGGCTGGGGATTTAGCTCAGTAGCAAAGCGCCTGCCTGGCAAGCGCAAGGTCGTGAGTTCGGTCCCCGGTACCGGACAAAAACCAAAAAAAAAAAAGAAAATTCTGTAGATACTCATGCGCGTGTTTGCGGGCGTACAGACTGCACGTGTTTGACACCTTAATTTGCACCACCCGCCCTAGCGCACACTGAGCAGTAGTGTCTACTTGTTGGGACCTACTGACACTAGAGCTTTTAAAACTTGATTAATTTTACTGATCCATGGTGAAGCTCAGTTGCTTACTTTTCTGTTTCTGTCCTTTATGCCTGATTTCTTTTATGCACTTTTTCTTTGCCCTGTACAAGCTCTTTTCTATATTATTTACTCATATGCTCATACTTGTAACTAAGATTTTTTTTTATGTAATCCATTCTTTTTCTGTCCTAGGTACTTATATTATCATTTCTAGACATCAAAATTACTTCCTTAAATTTTCCATCTGCCCATTAATATTGGCTAGTATGTTCCTTAATGAGCAGAACTGCTGGTACATTTTTTGTATTTATTGCAAAGTCACCTTATCATTTTATGGGTTTAAAATTTTGGTTATGAAATTTAGGTCCTCACTATTAGGTCACAAAATTATTTTCTTGTACTTTCTTTTATATTTTAGTTTCATATTTTTGTCTGATATCTTTTTGGATTGAACCTTTGAAAGTGTGTGATGCGAAGATCATATTCACTTGGCCTATAAAATGAACACTTATATCACCAAAAGGAATATTCAGTCACCTCTTTCTTTTGATTTATACTGCTAGCCTTATCAAATGTGTTTTGAATACATTAGAAGTTTTTGAAAAATTCTTATAAATTAAATGTGTATTCAAATTTTCTTAGTTTCAGACTTAAATGACAGGAATGTATAACATCCCACAATGAGAGAGGTACCTCTCTCTGTTATTTTTTATTTGAATAATTGAACACTGTCATTTGTTTTGCTCAAGGATTTCTAGATCTTTGTGAAATTTATGCTTGATTTGCTGGTATTATAAATATAGTAATACTGGGGACATAACTTGAAAAGTGCAGCTTATCACATTATCATATGGAGTCTAAATTATTCTCCACTAAGACTCAGACCAGGGGCCGGGGATATAGCTCAGCAGCACCTGCTTGGCAAGCTTGAGGTTGTGAATTTGATTCCTGGTACAAAAAAAAAAAAAAAAAAAGACTCAGACTAGCTCCAATTTTATTGGTATGTATTATTTTCTCTTTAAAGATGTTGTAGATATTTAATGAATTCACATAGCATGTATTTTAGTATTTTTATAAAGTTGGATATATAAAAATGTATGGTTTTATAGAAGATTATTTCTCAGTGTCGATATGAGTGTTAGGTAAGAAGTTATTTTATACATCATGTTGGCCCAGACTGAATCAGAAAGCAGGGGGGAATGTCTAGCTGTCTCTTTTTAAAGTATATATTAGAAGTATTTAGAAAAACTTTAGATGAGGTATATTTTCTAATTAAATATAACTTTTAAAAATGTACTTTGTTTACTAAGATGTTGATCATATTGGCATATTATTGTAGTCAGGGTTTGCAAGGGAAACAATTTAATACAGGACACATAATTTATAAGATTATTTTAATATAGTCACCCAAAGAGTCAAGTTCAAAAGAGTACAGGAAATCTGTCCACACACTAAAGATTCAAAGAATGCAGCTGAGGGCCTGGATCCCATGGCAGTGTCCTGCATGCGTCCAGCTAAAGACCTAGAGCCCATAACAACACCACCCACGAGCCCATGACAGTGTCTCCAGGATCTGCACTAAGAAGGCTCCAAGGTCAGTGATATAAGCTAGAAAGTCTGTGCCAGTGGGATGAAGGACCCATGCCAGCAGGCTGAAGGATCTGCACTGGAGCCAGGAAGCAATGCTCAAAG